CAGATAGCCTCCTGCAGGTGAAAACTGCCAGTCTAGACTAGCTCCTGCCGAAGATGACTCAGGGATGCTGGAGAAAGAGATGTCATATTGGGGGTGGGGAGCTGACTCAGTGGGTCGAGTGTTTGTCACACAAGCCTGAGGACCACCTGTGTGTAGGTCTCCAGCATTGACACGAATGACCAGTAGGCATAGCAGCATCCCTGTAATCTTAGTGCTCCAGAGGCAGAGAGGGAGGATCCCCAGGCCAAGCTGGATGCCCAGACTAGCCAAATCTGTGAGCTCTGGATTCCAGTGAGAGAAAGAGCCTCAATATATACAGTGGACAGTGATAAAAAAAAAGACATCCCTCTCAACCTCTGGCCTCTACAGGCATGCACCCATAGCCACACACAGGAATGTGCACACACATGAACACAAATGCACATGAGAGGCATGCATCCACACCCACACATGGGAATGTGCACACCTATGAACACAACAAAAATGCACATGACAGAGGCATGCTCGCATACCTACACATGGTTATGTGCACACACACAATCACAACACAAATACACACAAGAGAGACAGACAGACAGACAGAGACAACAGAGAGATTATCTCCCCAGGGAAGCAGAGAGACATACAACAGCTAAAGAAGACTGAAACCAAAATGAAGTCAGGTTATGGCACTGAGCAGTCTGCTAGCACACAGTAGCAAGTCCAGGACAAGGGACATAAGGAGCCCCCAGCTACAGGAGGATCATAGTAACTTCCATAAGGTAAAATACCACACCTGTCCCTAAGCACAGGTTAATTCTGATTTTATACATTACAAATAAGGAATATACATATTCCTTTACAAAGATAAATATTTATTAAAGATGCGTGTGTGTGCGTGTGTGCGTGCGTGTGTGCGTGTGTGTGCGTGTGTGTGTGTGTGTGTGTGTGTGTGTTGTCCTTGGAAGCCAGAAGAGGGAATTATATTAGATAACCTGGAGCTGGAATCATGGGTGGTTATAAACCACCCAGTGTGGGTGCTGGGAACCGAACCAGAGTCCTCAGAAAAAGGAGCTGTTGCTCCTAAGTACAACACATCCCTCCAGCCTCAAATAAAGCACATTCTTACAGCTTCATCTTTTACCATATTCATGCTGGTCCAGAATAAATTCCTAAGAGTTCAGTTATTAACTGAAGAATGGAGATGTCTTGAGGCCCCTGAATACTATACTCAGCAATAAATGAATGTGTCTATTTTCTTACATCCACACCAGCTCAAGGAATTTTGCATGTTTTGATTCTTTCTAAGCAAAAATATATACTTATTTCTTGTTGCATTTCTTTAAATATAGGCTTTTCCTGACTCCTTTTGGAGAGTCCCTTCTGAGTCTTACTGTATCTCCCAGGCTTCCCATTACAGTTGCCAGGAGCAACTTTGGCATTTGGCATGATTGGTTATAGACATGAATCATCCCAGTGCCATTGCTAATTAGTTTTGATCTTCCTGAACAAGCCACTGTAAATATCCTGCTTCTACAACACATTTCTTCCAACCTAATTGATGCTATTTTGGAATTAAAGCTTCTGGGGCTAGACCTTGTCCTCTACCCTGTGAGGGTCTAGCTTGTCCCGATGTAGCCCTTTTTAGCTTGCAAAGGACAGAGGAAGGAGGCCTGGGGGAGATTCCATCACAGAAAACTGAATTAGAAGGATGGAGAGGTCATGATGCCTGTATGACGTCACAATGTGTGGACTTTCAGAATGGATCACATTAATTTTATAGTTCATGTGCATTGATCATAATGGAATAGAATCTGAAGAATTCACATCACACATAAAGATTTTCTCATATTTTTTCAATAATAAACTACTGTTGAAATTGAGCAGGAACAGTGGGTGATATTATCCTGTGGGTCAGGACACAGCACTCCTTAAATGTATGCTATGTACTGAGAACCCTTCAAAAAACACAGTGTATAAGGGGAGAGAGGAGGTGATTTTACAGGGGAGAAGCTGGTAGGTACCTCACTCAAGTGATTGAGTTCAGCATTAGTAGTCATCAATCATTTTGATATCTCATACCCTTGACATAGCACTTGACCTTGGGGGTCTTTCTCTACAACCACATTGCACCATCTAATCATAAGAGGAATTCCAGACCAATCCCAATCACATGGTGCTCTATAAACACTTGATTAGTGCTCCCCAAGACAGCCAAGGTCATGAGCAACTGGGAAAGGCTAAGAACTAGCCAGAGCCAGAAGGAGCCTAAAAAGATAAGCAAGTGAGCATGTGTGTATCCAGCTGCAATGGGTATTCTAATGCTTGCTTGGGGGTTCTCATTTACATCCCTGCTTTTGACAGTAACCTAAATAACCTTTTGGGAGATGATACACTTCCTTCCCTCATGCTCTCCTCCTGAGTATGGGTATCAGCACTCCCAGTGCAACCAACCACCTGTAGCTCCAGATGCAGGGGACTCTACAAACTCTTCAGGCTTCTTCGGAGCCTACACTCCCAAGTGCATGGACCCACACATAGACACATAATTGTAGAAGATGAAAGCAAGTCTTTAAAGTACTTGTCCCTTCTCCCAGTACATCTAACCTGTGCTTGGAACTCCCCCTTCGAAGACTCTTATAAAGCTGTCTCTACAACATATCCAGCCCCTTCCCCCATCACTGCTGGAGACCTACAGTGTGCGCCTCTACTGTTCCATATTCCCCAGCGAGCCTTGCGAACATGAAGTCAGGAATGATGGAGTGCAGATGGGGGAGAGTGCCCCAGGCTCCAGGCTTGCTCCCACCTCTGTTTGACATGCATGGCTTGGGCTAGACACCATGTTCACTCAATGTCCTCATCTGAGAAACGGCAACTGGAAAGAGATGTACCCTTTCTTTCTCATGTTCTTTGAGACCTCGGGGCTCTCGGTGGCTGATTCTAGGGCTGCCTATAGACACAAAGGGGTTGACCCATGGAATATCACCCACCATTCTTGTTAAATTTCAACAGTAGTTTATTATCGAAAAATAGTAATTAAAAAGAACTAGAGAGAAGGGTGAATATGTGTTGGGGAAGTCCTGTGCATTTGTCAATTAAAGTACTGTCTGGCCAATGGGGAATCTAGATAGGAGGGACTAGGAGTCCAGGAAGACTCTGGGTAGGAGAAACACAGGGAGTCAACATGTAACGCCATGGGGGTAGGAAGCCTGGAACTATTCTCCGGTAAGAAACATACTTAGATTAACAATTATGGGGTAATTACTTAAGTCAGAGCTAGCCAGTAAGAAACAAGCAAGGCCAACAGCTTCATAATTAATATAGCCTCCTGTGTGTTTATTTGGGACTGATGCGGATCTGGAACCAGGCGGGCGGGAAGGCTCCTCTCAAGGAAAGCTTCTCGTAACAAATATGGTCTTATACTAATCTACAAGACTGCTTAAAGATTCGGGAACAAGGCAGAATTGTTCTTCTTCACACTTTGTTAACGTCTGCATCTCCACTGGCTTGTTGTGTCTGCTGATAAAATATGAAATGAGAATGACATGCGCCACTGCTGGCCAAAGCTTTGAGAGAGAACCCACAATTCTGCATCTTCTCCTTCATTTATTCCTGCTACGGTGATCCTGAAAACACGCCAACATTCCGAGAAACCCTAATGTGCAAAGACCCCGCCCTAACCCTTGTTAGCGGGTCTTTGTGACACCACAGGACTAACAAAGTTTCATGTTAAGCCACCGTGATCTGGTGGTTATCTGTTACTATAGCAACACCTGTCTTGATTAATGCCGGGCCTTCCGAGTCTGCTTCAGCATAGCTGCTTGCATTCGGTGTTCTGTGTGTCAGCTCAAGTTGTCAAACACTTCAACAATACTTCACCTCCTCTAACTCTCTCCACAGTCCCCAGCCAAAATCCTATTAGTGTCCCCACTTACAGATGAGAAAACGTATCTCCCAGGGGATCAATAAATTGGTCAGTTTCACACAGTGACTAAGCAATACGCACAGTTAAGACCCAAACCCAGACCATCCATAATTAACCGCCTCCACCATTCACCGGTGCTGGACTCAGTGGGAAGAGCTGGAACCAGCTCCAGTGAGCTCCAGACCTCACGGTGACTTGTCTGCACGCTCTTTCATGCTCTGTGAGTTCTCAAAGAGTTTACGTGGTCATGCACAGGCTACAGTTCAGCACTTTTCTTTGTCTGTTTTGGGTGGGGCCGAATTATCAAAGCATTGTTTATTAGACCCCAATAATTCCAAATGGCCAAACTAGATTTCAGCCATGCCCCACCATGCATCCCTCCCAACACCACTGAGTCCAGTCAGAACTGCATGTATATGTACATGTAAAGAACCATCCACTGGAACATGGGAAGTCTACCGGGGACCACATCCCTGAGCAGCCATTAGCTACTAATAACTCTTCATTTTGCTAATGCACATAGCACCAAACTGACATCTAAATATTTACTTTTTTACGAGACAGGGTTTCTCTGTATTGTTTCGGGGCTATCGGTCCAGCCCGGCCTCGAACTCACAGAGATCCGCCTGCCTCTGCCTCCCGAGTGCTGGGATTAAAGGCGTGCGCCATCACCACCCGGCAATATTTACTTTTATATCAGTAGATTTGTGCAGCTCACAACCCTCTCAGAGAAACTTTTCTTTTGTTTTATTATTTTTCGCGACAGGGTTTCCTCTGAGTAGCCTGGCAATGCTGGAACCCACTCTGTAGACCAGACTGGCCTTGAACTCACAGAGATCCAACCTGTCTCTGCTGGGATTAAAGGTGTGTGCCACCACCGCTTGGAGAGAAACATTTTACAGTGGATGTGGTTAATATAGGCAGTCCCAGCTGGCCAGCGTTCAGAGAATGAGCGTGGCAGGCTCAACCCCAGTCAGCACATCTGTATTATACCCCCTTTCCCAGAAGACCCAGGGAGCATTGCAGAAATGGGGGAAGAGGATCATAAGAACTGAAGGTTGCAAGGAGCTGCTGAGAAATGGTCTTTTTCATGACAAGACAGGGATGTTGCACACATGAAGTCACCACGGCTGTTGCAGTATAGCCAAGCCACTCTGCTGAGAGACAGCACTAACGAAGGACTCATAACAGGATTATTGATAGAATCATAACAGAGTTATTGGTCCCCTGGTGTTTTGAGAGAAACAGGATTGCCAACAACAAAATATTGCAGGGAAAGAAGGAGAAAAGCACCCAATGCAAATGTTGCAGCAGGGAGGGTTTCCAATACAAAGCCTTTCACCTCTGCAGCACACATTTTGTTAGCTCTGCATAATACGTGGGCCAGAAGAGCATCCTCAGGACATCTGGAATTCAGGGCAGAAGATCAAGTTGACAAGATTGTCCTTGGGGAGAGAAAAGCAGTGAGTGGGGGTTTGACTGCCCAACCTGGCCTATATCTCCCTGTCCGCCCTGGAGCAGGCACCGTCAAGGCCCATCCATCACCCTAGCTTAGGTTCCCATGATCCTGCTTCTGCCAGGTGCTTTTGGAGGCTTGAACCACAAGGGCAGCTTTGCTATTCCACTTGCCCAGACTACTGACCTTATGATAGGAATGGGTTTGTGGGTAATATACCACACACAGACAGAGTCGCCTTGGGCCGGTGACTGGCTTTCTAAGCCTACTTTGGTCTTCTGTCAAGTGGAGTTGACAGAACCTAACTCATGGGTTACAGTGTCTGTAACACATCAAAATCCCCACACATGGTGGTTCAACTGTTTGTTAACAAAGGAATGGGGATTATAGACTCAAAGAGGGCCCAGGGCAGTCTGAGAGTTTTGTTTAAACCACTATCTCTGGGCTTGCTGGCCAGCCAGCTTAGCCAGCTTGCCAAGTCTCATGCCAGGGAGAGACCTTGCCTCAAAACAACAAAGATGGTGAACATGTCCTGAAAACTGACACCTGAGATTGTCCTCTGACCTCCCCATGCTTTTGTGCACATATATACATGCACTTGCATATATGAACAAAGACATAGCACATGCCCTCTCTCCTCTCTTCCTCTCTCTCTCTCTCTTTCTCTCTTCCTCTCTCTCTCTCTCTTTCTCTCTCTCACACACACAATCATTCATCAACAAAATGACTCCTTTCATTGTCACAGAAAATCTACCAGGTGAGTACCACTGTCTTCATTTTCATGATGAGGACAAGGCAGGAGGAAGAGAGCTATTTGCCCAAAGTCATCAGCTCAGTGACCAGTCATTTACAAACATCATCTCAACTCATTCTATACACTTGGAGAGGAGAGGCTGCCTCTTTCATTTTAAAGATGAAGAGGCTGAGGCTCCAATAGTTCAATAAGACTACAGACGATACCCACCAAGCAAGAATCAAAGCGGTGACTCGGGCTTAGCTTGGTCTGTGCATTTCTCCAGCCACCATTCCTACAAATAAAAGCAGCCACCCTCAGGAAAGCTAATCAACATTGATTTTGCAATTAGAGTGTTCAAGGCACTAGACTAAGAGCTCAGCAGGCATCCTCTTATGTAACTTTCACAGTGAACGCTTGCCCCCATTTGACATACTAGGAAACTGAGGCACAGAAAAGACCGTGGCTGACCAAGGTCACAACTAGAAGCTGGCATAGCTGGGAACTCAGTCAGCTCTGATGAGCCCAACGATGAGTCAAGGGGTTTGCTCAGCAAGCACCTTTGACCTGCTATGAAAACCTCAGGTCCTGTTTTTCTCCTTGACCAATACTTCTATAAGTTTGCTGAGGGGTGGTGGGGGGCTACTCAAGAACAGGAGAGGAGAAGAGGGAATAGCTGAGAGGGAAGCAAAGCAAAATGAGACAGACAGATGGCCAGGCCAATAGTCACCAGGCTGGGGCAGCCCTCTGTCCTTGGTGTCAATCCTCCCAGGTCCACTCAGCGTCCTTGGACCCTCCTGGACATGTCCAATAGGCTATAGGACTACCAAAGCACATATGTGGGGGGAGACTATTTCTATATCCTTGGAAATGCACTCTCCATAAGTCCATATCTATGTTCCCTGTAGGAAGGAATCTGGGCTGCAGGTTGACAGAGGTGGAGAGGCTCTGCTCTCCTTTCTTGGTTATGCAGATTAATGCAAAACCTTATGAAATGGCAAAGGTTGGGCACCTCTGGAGGGCTAGAAGACAAAGTATGCCTAATAGAGTTAAGCTGAGGTCTGCCAAAGATGGGGGGGTGCTTCCTCCATTAGCATCACCCTCACCTTGGTGCAAGGTGGGCCCAGGGTGGCCCAAAAATAAGTCACACACCAAAGAGGAAGTCTCATGCCTTCTGAGGACACTGAGCCAAATGCCAGCAGGAAAATCACCCTAAAGAGCCCAGGGGCATGGAAAGTGACAGTGGGCCACTTGTTCTTGCTTGCATACTTAAGGTGACCACCTGGCACAGACATGAACCTTTGCAGTACCTCATGTGGCTTGGAAACTCTGAGTGACCTGACCATGCCTCATGTCACACAGGTCCTGCACCATGCTAGGAAAGTTGTCCCATACACAGTTCTCCTGGAAACCCTAGCTGTTGCTCCCCCCTGGCTTCGGCTTGAATTGCTCCCCCAGCCTAGGATGTCTTTGCCCTGTGTTCCCTCTGTGGAGCATTATACAGCTCAGATGGGAAGGCATCCTGGCTGTCGGGAGCCAAGGAACACCACAGTCACACCATACAACAAACCTCACACAAGAGAGTTACTGGGAGGTGAAAAAAACCCAGGAGGATGGCTGACTCTGCTTGGGAGAGAAACAGAAGGGAACTGAGCAGAACACAGGGTGTATTTAGAGTTTCTTGGGGCTGGGGACTTCTTAGGGTGAAGCTTTCCCAGAAGGAGATTGGTGGGATTTCAAGTCCAGAGCTTGGGCTTTTTACTCTGCAGGGCAGAGGGCTGGGTCCAGCTGTTAGGACGTCAGAGTGTTCTGTGGGTAAAACCTGGTCCTCAGGGGAGGGGCCTGGCCACTGGTGTGGCTCAAGGGTCTTACACTCTCAGTACTCACCTTCGTCAGGATGACTCTACCTTAAGATCCCCTACCCCCGTGTCTACACCCCCAGTTTAGGACTCTATTTGCTAATGGTCACCAGTTACCACAGAAACCCATTCTCTCAAAGTTCCAGAAGCCAGAAGGCTGACATCGCAGAGCCAGCAGAACCTTACTGGACTCCTCCTTGCTCCTGGTCGTTTCGTTCTAATCTTTGAAATTCCTTGACTTACACCTGTGTCGTTCCAGTCTCTGTCTTGGTGTGTACTTGGCAGGTCCCGGACTAGCACCTATGTCACCGCCCGGTTTTCCTGTAAGGACACCAACCATCTGACTGACTCCAGTGTAGAGTAACTTCATTTAAAATAGATTTTTTGTCATTTTGAAATGAAGCCATCTTCTAAGGTTTTCAAGCAGATGTGACTCTGAGGAAATCACCGTGTAACCTGGTTTAACAAGAAACTTAACACTGCAGGAGAGCAGAGCAGAGCGTGCCGGAATAAGCAGAGGAAGCAGCAAGGAGAGACCGAAGTCAGCTACAACTCGTAACAGACAGAGTACAAAGGAAAGACCATGTTGGGGAAAGTGCCAGAGCTAATGACTAAAAGCCAGGAGCCACTGAATCTACAAGACTCGGGCAGTTTCAGTCGTTGCCTGGTGCCAACGTCCCTCGAGGTCCTTACCACTCCCTGAACTTAAAGCAACCTGGCAGCAGGTGAGAAATGTTCCACTCCATACCAGTAGCTAAGGAAACAGAAGTAAGTGTGTCACTTGGGAGGTAGATGCTGACATCTTCCTCAAGAAGTTTCCTGTTCTACCAATAACACCTAGTTCTCCGCTCTACACCTCTTGTCCTGGTCACATGTTAACTGATAAAGGGTAGGTATGTGCTGTACTTGGCATGCAGTAAAAACCCAAGTCACAGTATAAGTGTTTAAATAATATTTTCACTAATCATGGTGTTAGTAAGCATACCTTTATTATAAGTCTAAAAGATGATGCATTTTGGCTCTTAAGGTAAATACATTCCTTATTTTGCCATTAGGAGCCAAGCCTTTCCATTTATAAGACTTAGAAACAGAAATTTAAATAAAAACTACACCATTCCCAGTGCCTCCATTTTAAAAAGCATATTTATTTCCTAACCAGCCTCTAAATGCTTACAGCTGATACCTGAAGCTGGGAGGCAGCCCACCGGCAGAGGGCTTGCCAGACACACATGGATCCATGGGTTTTATTCCCAGAACAAGAAAGGGGGTGCCTACATGCAATATCCAAACCCAAAGCCATGAACTCTTCCAGAAGCCAGACTTTGGCCTCACCAATCACTGCCCTGCCAAAGTATGGCCTCACTGACCACTGTCCTGCCAGACTACGGCCTCACCAACCACTGTCCTGTAAAAAGAAACCTCAGTTCCTGGGGGGAGATATATAAGCCTTGCTTTGAGCAGAGAGTATGTAAAAGGAGTCTGAGAATGCTCCCAGGTCTGAGGATGGAAAAGCTGCAGAGATACTAGAAACCTTGGCAAAAGACTAGAGAGCCAAATTGAGGTGGCATTCACCAAAGGTGGGATAATCTGAGAATCAATGATGATGAGGAGGAGGAGGAGGAGGATGAATGGGACTGGAGAGAATGCTCCATCTATAAAGTGTTTGCCATATAAGCATGAGAACTTGAGTTCAACCTCCAGAACCCTAATTTAAAGAACAAAACAAAAAGCCAAGTGTGACAGCCCAGATTTGTAATCTCAGCACTGAGGAGGCAGAAGCAGGAGGAGTTCTGGGGCTCGCTGGTCAGGCAGACTACCCTGCTGGCAATCCCCTGGTCAGTGAGAGATCCTGCCTCAAAAAAATCAGAGTGGAAGTAACAGCCTCTGACTTCTGTATGCAAACAAAGAATGCATGAGCATACATACACACTCACACACACACATAAACACACACATGTGCATGCGCGCACACAGAGAGAGAGAGAGAGAAACAGACAGACAGACAGACAGACAGAAAGTAAGCTTAGTTACATAGGATCGCTAATTTGGGGTGTTGTAATAAAGGTGAATTCTCACTTGAGTGCTCCGAAGAAAGTCCTAATTAGCTCTGAGATCGAGGTGCAGAGAAGTGAAGTGTGTCACCCCATGTCACATAGCTTCTAACAAGGAAAGACAGAATTCCACACCGTGCCTGTGACATTGCAAAATGTATGGCACAATGTCTTCAAAATAATTTAATGTTCCCTCCACTGTCTATGGGCAAATCATGAAAAAAGCCACAAGAAGGGAAAGCTATTACGGTTCCATCCTCCCTGGTTACAAGCAACAGATGTTGGAAGCCGAGAGTGTGGCATGATATATACGTGAAATGATAATGGCAAACCAATTATAACCACTCCTGTGAAAATCCATGAGGGCCATAAAATGCTCTTTGGTTTCAAGGTGTGAACCAGCAGCGTGTTTCCAAGGATCTTCCCAATTCCACCCCAGCGCCTCTACCCCTCAGATGAAGTTTCTTAAAGAGCAGCCTGGGAACCATTTTTACTTAGGCATTTTAAAATACAGATCCATGGGCTTTTGTCACAGACCAAATTGATTTCTAATGTGCAGATCCCTGAAACTGGGATTTTTAGCTTAGTGCCCCCAGAAAGGTTGTTGGGACATTGCTCTTGAGGAAATGATGCTTCTGTGTGTGACCTTTTCCAGGGAGATGCATGCTTCCCTAGTCTAGCTTAGTGGGTCAATAGATTTACTAGGGGAAAAAGGGAGACTTGCAGGTGCATGGGTGACCCAAGGGCAGTGGAATCCCTGTCAAGTCCATCTAAGCACGGGTGAGGACTCGAGAGAGCTGCATCATGGGAGTTCCCTACAACTTGCAGACACTGCCACCCAACGGCTCCCCCACCAGTGTCTGGCAATTTATAGTGCTAATAAAATCATGGGACCAGATCTTGGGATGTTTCTATTAGAAGAACCACACAGCTGTATCCCATCTGAGAGTCGTTGGGGCTGAGGGGTAGGTCAGGGGGAGAGCTTACCTCACATCCCTAAGGTTCTGGGTTTGATCCCAGCACTAGGAGGGGTTGCTAGACAGACATTCTCCACAGACCACCCTACCTCCAAACCTCTCATTCTACATGTACTTCTCTTTTGTCAATGACCTTTCTAGAAGATAAATTCCTGTTGAGATCTTGTAAGACGTGGATGCATATGTCCATAATCCCAGCCCTTGAAGAGGCTGAGAAGAGGATCAAGAGTTGGAGAACAATTGCATAGTGGCACATTGTCAATGGTCCCTCCCAGTGTTCCATGCCCCCCCAGTGTCTTTAGGGCAGACACATATTTTTATCTCTCTAACAATCCCCAGGCTTATCTGCCGTTTCTTCACCACCATTCCAAACAGCTGCCTGTATCCCCATCATGGAAAACTCACTGAGTGGTTCTTCCACACTGGCCAACACTCATTCTGATATCATCTGTCTCTTCAGCATCCTTCTAGTTTCACCTGACCTTCCTTGGTGCTTCTGAGATGATTCACTTCCTGTGACCTCATTGCATCTCCTATGACAACTGTCAGATGACCCAGGAATGCCCTGTGTGGTGATTTGAATGAAGATGGTCCCCATAGACTAATAGGGAGTGGCACTATTAGGTGACCTTGTTAGAGTAGGTGTGGCCTGGGAGGAAGTGTGTCACTGGGAGTGGGCTTTGAAGTTTCAGATGCTCAAGCCAGGCTCACTGTTTCTCTCTGTCTGCCAATCCAGATGCAAACTCCTGGTTCCTTCTCCAGCACCATGTCAGCCTGTTCACAGACATGGTTCCCACCATGATGATAATGGACAAAACTTCTGAAGTGTAAACCAGCACCAATTAAATGTTTTTCTTCATAAGAGTTGCCATGGTCATGATGTCTCTTCATAGAAATAGAAACCCTAACTAAGAGAGCCTGATACCTTAAGACTGTGGAGCACACAAGCCATGCCTTGTCCCCTACTGGGTCTCTATCACTGGCGGTCCCTGACAGTATGGGTTCCTGGGGATCGTTAAATGAGTGAAAGAAGAAATGAGGTTTCCCTGTCCATCTTCATTCCATCATAGTATATATTAGCCTACTCATCCTCTGATCTCTTTTTACCTCTCCTTGTTCCATTATTGATAATCCTTTTGTACACTCCCATTGGCTCAAGACCCCCTTGAGCCTAAGCACTTCCTCTCCTATGGTACACCAGTTTGCAGCACTCTTCCAGAATATAAATAAGTTCCTTACCACCTGCCTAGGAGACAGGCAGAGTCTCTTTGGTATCCACAGGCTGTGAGTGAATGAGCTTGTACACAGCCCTTATCGAACTGACCACAGCCATCCAATCCCATCACACCTCAAAGAAGCCTCAGTCCCAGCCATAGGAGATTAGTCCAGGACTGTATGCTTGGTGTAAATTGGCCAATCATGTTCTCTCCTGAGAATATGCACCGTGAAAGAAAGATTTCCCTTAAGGTTGTTCACCTAGGGGTAGGGGGAATTGTCATCTCACTTTGGCTCTATGTCTGGGAGCTCCAAGGGTAGGAGAAGTGTCTGTGTTGCCAGCCACCCATCTCCTGAAGGCACCAGCCTGGCTGTCCTGCTCTCAGAAAGTGATAACCCTTTTCTCTCCACCAGTCCCTGTCTCTGTAGTCTCTTGTTTCAATGATTTTGTCTCTTCCTTTTCTGTGTGGTCTGTGTCTCTCTGCTTTCTCTCGTTTCTCCTTACTCTTGTTTCCCTCTGTCTTTCCTCTGTTTCTCTGTTCCTTTTCTTGTCTCCTTCCCCCCTCATGCCCCCACCCCTACCACCTCATACACTGACACCTGCCCCTAACCAGCTTCCCTTTGTCTTGTGCTTCTCCTGTTGCCTGGTAACCGCCTTCCCCACCAGCCCCACAGAAACCATAGCAACAGGCAGCCTGGAGATGCGGCCATTCATCTTGCTTTTGTCCTTTGCATTTCCGCCACTGCAGGCCACGCACGTGGATGCTCCAATTACAGGTACTCAGGCAGGATGCCTTTGTCCAAGACCCATTCACAGCCAAGCAGACTCAGGGAACAGAAGCTGTTGGGAGCTGCCACACAAAGTGTCTTTGTACCTCCTCCAAGTGCTCCCTGCAGTGCTCAAGGACAGTAGGATCTCCAAGCTCATGCTCCAAACCCACATGCCAGACAATGACAGGGGTAGAAGAAAGGGGGAGTGTGGTAGACAGACAGACGTCCAACCCAATAGGCCCAGAAGAAAAGCCAAAGGACATAGGGACAGAGTGGGGATTACAGTGATCAGCACAGAAGCAAGGACTCTGTCCCTGCTCACTGAGTGCCCCCTTGACCCTTATGTTCTGTCCATCCTCCAACTCATTGTAAAGTCACACAGCTCTTCTCTCTAGGCCTAATCTTCAGGGTCCTCTTTGTACATTGAAGCCCTACCCAGTCTCATAGCCCCTTTCCAGCATCTCCCTGGGGTGGAGACTACCCTGAGCACTCCTGTACACTGCTCTCTCCTCTTCTCTCCTCCCCCCTCTCTCCCTCCTCAATCTCTGTGTGTGTGTGTGTGTGTGTGTGTGTGTGTGTGTGTGTGTACTCATGTGTATGTATGTGTGTACATATGATATATTCATCTCCACAGGATACTGTATCAAGTTGCCCAAAGCTGGGTATTTTAAAACAAGACATGTACCAGCTCACACTTTAGAAGCTACAAGTTCAAAATCAAGGTGTGGGTAGGGTCAAACCAGGCAAGAGGTCCTTCCCTGAGTCTTCCTATCTCCCAGTCACAGCTCTCTATCTGTTCTTGGCTCCCATTCATCTCTATGATTACACGCTTCCTTTCCATGTATATCTAAACTTCCTTCTTATCTCCAGCCTCTGGGAGGATATACCCTAATTGAGATGACTTTATCTTGACTGCATTTACAAAGACTTTACATCCAAATAAGGTCACAGTCTAAAGTTTCAGAAGTTGAGGAATTAGAGAGGAGAGGACACAAGCCAATCCAGTCTATACTGGTTTCACCCAGTTTTGTAATTCCTGTACATTTGAAAAGTCTAATCATCCATCATTCTGGCCCCCACAATCAAACAGTGAGTAAAATGACCTCTGTATTAGTGACGTTTTGTCCCACTATGACAAAAAACCTGACAAAAGTGACTCAGGGGAGGAAGGGCTTCCTTTGGCTCAGTTTGAGAGGATATAGTCCATTGTCATGGTGGGGGGAGGCATGGCAGTGTGGGTATGAGCTGAGTGTGAGGCAGCTGGTGACACAAAAGTCAGGAAGCAAGGAAAGCCACTGCTCAGCTAACTCAGTCTCAGTTTTATTGTCCCAGTCCCAGAATGGTGCCACATACATGTAAGTTGGGTCTTCCCATGGCAATTAACCCATTTGGAAACTCTCTCACAGACATGCCCAGGAGTTTGTCTCCAATATAGGTCTAGATCTTGCAGAATTAACAATAAAATTAACCATCACAACCTCTTTGAGCCTTGTTGCTCCTTATGCAAAAGACGGTGATACCAGCATCCTGAGAGGTCACCGAGGAGGTATGAACGAAGATGCTTGCATGCAAAATGTCAGCCAGTGCACAGGTATTAGTTGCCAGCTGATAGATGGAGGAAGCAATTGCGGCAGGAGGGTTCTGAACCAATGATGTAACCACTGAAGGACTGATAACTCTGATAGCATTATTGAGAAGTAGTAGAAACTAGGAGGTAGAGCCCAGCTGTAGAAAGTAGAACCTCGGGAGCCTTGAGATGTTTTGCTCCTGACACCCCATCTCTTCCCTCCGTCTCTCTCCCTCTTCCTCTTTATTTCTGCTTCTTTCCCTCCCCTCTCTCCCCTCTTCCTGCCCTTTTCAGTCCCAGGTGCTCATAAATGTGTACACGGGGCTTAAATTCTGTCTCCATCTTCACATGTCCTTCTTCTGTAGTTCTATCTTTCTTTCTTCAAAGGATCCAAGACATGTCCGGATAATTCCGAACAATCCTATCCCAAGACCCTTAATTGCAACTGAAATGATCCTTTTTCCAGATAATACAGTCCTCCCTGGTGTTGAGGGCTCGAAGCAGACATGTCCTTTGGAGAACTGCCATTTACCCTTCTGCTACAGTTACGTTTCTTCCTTTCCTTCTCCCCCTCTCCCCCCTTGCCCTTCTCTCCATCCCTTTTCTTCCCCTTCCTCATCTCTTCCTCCTCCTCTTCATTTTCTTCTTCTTCATTCTTCTAGACAGAGTGTCATTATGACATCTAGGCTGACCTTAAGGTTTGTAGCCTAAAGTGACTTTGAATTTTGAATTCACAATCTTCCTCCTAACTGCTGGGATGGCAGATGTGTGACACCATGCCAACTTACTGTGATCTAAGAAAATAAGTTATATTTTAATAATTCATCTTGGGGTACCTGTGTGTTGATCAGAGGGCACCCCAAGAGAGAGAGTTCTCTTGTTCCACGATATTCGTTTTGGTGACTGAACCCAGATGGTCAGGCTGGGCAGAATCTCTCCAGCCCTGCTTTGTGACTTCTGTCACTGAGGCAAGAGCTTGAGCTGTTGTTGGTCTCTTTAGCCAATGTTTATGAGAGCCAAGGATTCACAATTTTAAAGTGTACTGATTTTTATTTCATTCTCAAATGGTGCTGCAAAGGCAGGCGCCAATGTTTCCATTTTAAAGTTGGAGCAAATGAAGCAGGAGACATTAGGTGACTGCCTTCAGCACACAAACCTGGGACTGGTCCAGTGTGCTCCAAACCTGCAGCCCCAACCCCACCCCAATGCATAATGGCTGTTGAATGAACCATGTAGTCCAGGGCATGGCGATGCCATTTTCCTGCCTAAAGCCCCTCTCTGGTGCCCCCACCGCATCCAGGCTGCCTGCCTCATCTGTCCCTCTGTGCCCTGTCCCTTTCCTCTAACCTGTGAGCTCTCTGAGAGCAAGCACTGTCACATCATCACAGCTTAGTATGCCAATCGTGGGGCAAGTACTTCATGTAGTTATTGCAATTAAATCATAGATACAATGGCATCGCTGTGGACATACAAAACCAAAAACTTGTCTCACCAATTTTATTATTATCCCATGCTCTTTGTCTGAGATCCAGATCCCTCCAAAATCCTGGCTTGTAAAGCACTAATGTTTATTTAGCCCCAAGAGCCAAGTCATTTCAAAGGTTCAAGACTGGGGAATTGGCAAAATCCCCTATGTAATAAACAGAAACGAAGAGATTTGATCGTGTGAGTCAATCCTTATTAAATATTAATGTGTCAGGAGTCACAGAGTGGGGGTGCTGGCTAGAAATACGGGTTCGGCTGTGGCTGTGGCAGTTGTGTGCACGTTTGTAGGACAGGGTGGGGGCAGATGCTGTAGATGACTCGTGGCACTCTTGAGAATCAAGGTGGCAGCCGAGCTGAGAGGTCAGAGCTAGTAGGCTTGGTTTGAAATGCTGACATGGACTTGGTGGAGTGGCATTCCCATAAATAAATATGTTGGTGAGGTACATCTTACAGAGCCAGAAATGGGAATGGGAGCTTGCATCATGGCATTCCAAACAAGATGTCCACACTTGGGGAAAGGGGGGACAAATGGAGATATCACCTGGGAAGCAGGGAGAGAGATCAGGAAGGCTTGGGGTGAGGGTGGGGGGGGTTACAGACCCTGCCAGAGAGGATGAAGATGATGAACCAAGAACTTATTCACAGAATGCATGGCCTTTGCCCACGTGAATTCACCAGGAGCTCTGTGTGTCCCCTCAACCTCAGGCACTGCTGCATATCCCAGGAAGTGTGCAGAGCCTCAGGGAGTCTCACCATGGATGGAACAAGTTAAAACGCCGGGGAAGATGCCCAAGAGGACCAGCATGGGAGACGGATAACTAGCCCA